ATTCATTGATATATTTTTTTGTTTTTGTTTCTTCTGGTACCATTGTTGTCTTTTGTTATAAATAAATCTGTTGAAATGTATTGCTGGTGACTAGATGTGATATATAATAATTAAATTGCGTTTGTAACTTTTTTCAAGTTTAGAGAATACACAGCAAGAGTTAACTGTTTCTCTAACGTGAAATAATCGTCATGTGCGTAAATAATTCAGTGAATGTGCGCATGCGCTAGAATCTCTGTCTGTGAGAGATTTTGAATTTTTGAAACATTTTGGACTGAAAGTGAGGAAATAACAAACAGTGAAAAATTGAATGTATTTGATGAACCAGTGCTCGATCATTTCCTCATACGTTTACATGAACACACCCTATGGATCACAATTGTTAAGAAGTTCAGATGAAATTCGAATCACAATTATTAATATTGCCGAAAATTTCATATACATAGAGGAAAAATTCACCACTAAAGATAAAAAGAAAACATGCGATCCCTCCAATAATGCAATTGCTTTTCTGTTCAATGATATTGTTCATGAGATAAGTGGTGAACAAGTGACTGTTACTAGTAACTGTGACTAGAGATAACATCTACAATGAAAATCATGATTTCATTTTAACAATCATATGCTAACACCTTATCGTCAACTGAATGGGGACTTTCAGAAATAGAACAGGATTCTTGGATACAACTAGCCACGTATTCAGGGGTAAATTACCATCAGAATATTCAATGGGTATTGTTGAAGATAACATCAAAAGTATATTGAATGATGCACAGGAACTGATTTTAATAATAGCTCGATGGAGAGCGATTTCGTTTTTTTACCATAAATTCACTAGAACATATAAACAATCTAGTCATCATGGTAATCATTTTCGTGACAGTCTTCTATTTTCTCAAGATTTTCATCATTCACTTGAAATATCAGTTTCAAAATCCCATCCAAAAATTTGTCAAGAATATCTGCGCCATTATAACAGTTCTCAGCATGACGAAGACACAGAATTGGATAGTTTCTGATCATATCACACATTTAGGTCATAAACACTAGTATTCTCGACATCCTCACTGAATACCTTTATTTCAACAGACAATCTTTCCATGAATAAATCGAGATCCTCAGCATCAGCCCAATTATGACTTGCATACTGTATTCTTATCTTTAAATGATTGAACTGAAATAATATGAAAATAACCATTAAATTCACCGTGAACTCATTAATAATAATAATCTTATGAGATTCTATGTTCTTTCCATTTATAAAGTGAATGAGTTCAATGATATGTGAAAATGTTTATATGTATTTTTCCTAACAATTAACATCTCAATCATCTCTATATCATCAGATATATATATAATGTATAAATAAGCAATATATATATAAAATATGTATAAAAACAAAATTTACTTACCACAAATGATGACTACTATTATCCAATGATATCAAACTTAACTACGTTAGCGAAACGCGGTATCTAGATGCGCGTTTTGCTAACCAAGTTAGCGCCCTCAGGAGATCAATACGACTCTTGATCTCCTGAGGACGCCAACTTGGTTAGCGAAACGCGCATCGAGAGACCGTAATTTTTGTTCTGGTGTTGGGAAAGTATTTTCAATAGATTCATTTCACACATTCAGTATATTCACAACTCGAAGAATTGATACAAGGTAAAACATCTTCAGTGTAATGCATTGAAATACGTTTGGGTAGTAGCCATTTATTGAATAATTCATCATTGCTTAAATAGTGTAAGGTTGATGAAATCGATTCACCAAACCAAGTGGAATAAAGTGCCATATTTTTTATTATATACGTTTCATTAATTGCCAATGATGATAGGAGCCTTTGCTCTCCGTCGTCCTTTCTTCAAGGCACTGAATAAATACCAATTGCTAATTGCTGCAGATATATTTTTTTAGTGATTTAATTTCATACATCATTCATTTCTTTGACATTAGTTTCAAAGAAGCACACATCGTTAGTGAAGGCAATGGTCATCGGAACGTGTGCACTCTCTACCTCGAGAGGTAGCGTATGATGACACACCCGCCTCACTACCTCATCATTGGCAGAGGCATATAGACGAACACACATTAGTCGAAAACATTTTATGGAGTGTACATGTCTCTTTCCATACCCAGCTGTGGACGTGATCGATTTATTTGCTGCTACTGATAACTTCCCCCACCTCTCACCAATTCGGCCGCTCATTAGTTGGTGTATCTTCATGGTATTGTACTCTGTACAAATCCTTCACCGTGTATGTAATCTACCCCCTAGGTTACGTTACGTCCAAAGTGAGTGGGTCTATTCGACCCTCCACCACAACCCGCAAGGGTTTATTGTGGCTCACACCTATTCACACTCGACCAAATAAACCCAGCTTCTTAACGAAGCCGATTAGTTTGTACGGTGAGTGGTCTTTCAGGTCAGATGGTAAGAGTACGGCTCTGCCGAACTCTAAAAACCTGATTCTGTCGCCAGTGGGGCAGACACAAAGTATGTTTTCTGCTGTTTCATAATTTTCCAAACAGAGGCGATACACACTGTCTTCCGACAGTATGAGTCTCTGCATATGATGATTCAAATGACACTGACCTGTAAGAAGGCCTGTTAGTTCATCCCTACTGTAGTCCAACAACTGTTTGGTATCATCGAAGGGTAAATAAATGCCTTGGAGTGAGCCAATCCTGGAAGATTCTGCCAGAAGTACATTCATCTTCTTACCATCCAGATGTATAATGTTTGTTTGGCAAAGCATAAAGTGATACCAATGACAGGTTCTGGTCCGATGAAGCTGCCTGCAGCACCCTCCTTTGCAAGGGAGTCAGCAGCCTCATTGCCTTCCAGGCCAGTATGACCAGGAATCCAGACCAGAGACAATCTGTCAAGTCTTCCTATCGAGGAGAGTCGTTTTTGGCAATTTTCTACCAATTTAGACGTTGCTAGGTAGGAGCCAAGAGTTTCCAACGCCGCTTGACCGAGAATATTTTTATTGACTTGTGAATGAGATTGGATTCTTCCTATCTCTCCGCACACAATTAAATAGCGTGAATTTCCGCTTGAAATACAGACGCATAGGTTCCTAGGCAGGTTGATATCTCTGTCCTGGGTCTGCGACTGAAAACACCTGCACCAGAACCGGAAGGTATTATTGATCCATCTGTGAACCAACAACTATCTGCTCTTAATATTTACTTCTCCCGGAGGATCCAGTCCTCTCTATTCGGGAACAGTACTTTATAAGGCAGTTCGTGGTAGACAGTTGGAGGCATGAAGTCATAGGTCATTTCCAGAATGATGTGACTTTCAGTGTCAACCAACAGTCTGTTGCCCTCTGTATTAAATTGATTTGTGCAATTGCCAATTTGCACAAGTCTATATGCAGTCCATCTAGCCTCTCTCTCCAGAAAAATGTGGAGAGGAGATAGATCTAGAAGGATCTCCATGGCCGCTGTACTGATGGAACGAACCACTGATGGCCAGACAAGCATGTCTCTGTAAGCCAGAGAGCTTTGCCTGGGCCATTTTCTGTAAAGCCTTCGGCCACCAGGAAATTACACCATAAGGGATCATTGGTCTGACAATCATCACATAAATCCAATGAATTTGTTTGGGACCTAAACCCCAAGTTTTACCACAAATCCTTCGACATGTCCATTGGGACAGTCTGGCTTTGTGTATAACTTTTTCCAAATGAGCGTTTCAGGTAAGTTTTTTATCAAAGACAATGCCAAGATACTCCACCTCCGTTCCAAATGGAACGACCTCACCATTAAGGGAAAGTGGCGTTAGATCATCCAATTTTCTCCTCCTGGTGAAGGGGATTATCACAATTTTGCTGGGGTTGACAGACATCTGCTCCCGAGTTATTTGAATTGAAAAGGTAACGTTTTGAAATTATTTAAAAAAATAATTGGCTTTCTACTTCTCCATCTTCAAACAAAAAAAAAGGAAACTGCTGAAGAAAGGAAGTTGAATTCTTTATTCCTTTCTTCGAAAGTTTCCAATATTTTTTGTTCAAAGATGGATAGGTAGAAAGCCAAAACTTTATTTTTTCAAAATAATTGGAATCATATTCCAAGTATTTCACAAAACCTCAGCTGTTCATTGATTCATTATCCTCAAATTCTAGAAATTGTGAGGTTTTTGAGGTTTGGGAATGAGTTATTAGTAAAATGATTAAAAATCAAACCTGGTTTGAATCTTTTAATTCACTTCATGTAAAAAAGTACATAAAATGTATTTACTGTATCATCAGATATGTAGAATTTCTGAAGAAGGAATCCATGTTCATAAGCAGATATTACAATTACAAGTCACCTAAACAGATACCTGTGGTACATTTTCAATTTTGTTATAAAGGACAACTGAAAAGTGCCTTTTTATCGGGCCAACAAATAACTGTCTAGCCCCCCCTTCTAATGACAACTCTAAATATAGTTTTTCAGACCTGAAACATTCATATATTTCGAAAGATAACATCGTCAAAAAAATGCCCAAGATAAAAATTATCATTTTGAGGGATCTATTCACTGGTTGCAACATTGAAAGAAATTAATTATCTTCCTATATTTCCTCCTGAGAAGCATCTATTCAATCATCAGTTTAATCATATCATCTAAAAGAACAATTCATTCAGGCCAGTCGATTGACTGAGTGAAACTGACCATCCACGTCAATACACCAGGCTACCGTCCACCGTGCCAATAGGCATAGTGATTCAAGAGGAAGGTTTTTGTATAAAATTTATTAACGTTTTGTGTAAATTGCTTGAAATATGACGATGATTGTTGAAGATGTTGGAAAAAAGTTCACTGGAAACATTTATAAAAAACGCAACCTAATCTCTTTTAGATTATAACACAATGTGTGTTATTGTTACTCTTTTATAACTCTGCAGAGAAGTCCGCAATGGCACTTCATCTTTGATAATATCTACTTCAACTGTAGACAGAACGTCAAACATAAAAATCATTAGGCGCCAATTAACAAATCCGGAAAATAGCTTTAGCACAGAATACCATCAATGATCCTGGGAAATAGTAAAAGTGCTCCATTTAAATTTTTTATGTTACAATTTCACACTAATTAATAATTTGCATAATGAGTAAACGGTTCTGAGGCCAAATGTCAAATAAGATCATAAAACGAGGTATTTTTAGTTGCACATGTAGGTATTACATCTTGTACATGTTTCAGTTTTCAACAAACCCTACATAATTTTAGCAATAGAATACGAATGGACACTATAAAATCGGTGTTCACCATTTCCCGTTTTCAAAAATGACATTTTTGAGGGAGGACATTTTTTGGACAATGCTCATTTTTTGTAATATTTGTATAATTCAGATTTGAAGAATCACCCGGTTTTTAAAAAATTCAAAACAATCTTCAAAAACAATAATTGTGAATCATAAAAATGCTAGTGTAAGAATGAATTACTCAACTACATCGGCGTCTCAGTGTCAATTGGAATATGCCCTCTAGATGTATAGGCAGGGGGACCGTTATTTAAAAACGCCATCGATCTCATACTATTTCTATTTGAATTATTTCTCTTCTGAGGCACTTGAGGTGTGGCATGGCTGTGGTACTGTTTCGGAGGTGAATAATTTAAGGCTCTAGTACCATGGAAATTTGAATAACTAGATCTGACAGAAGGAGGCCTGTTATTATATAAATCATCTAAGTCTTCATTCTCGTTCAATGATTGTTGAGACGATTGCTGATATGTAGGATTTATACGGCCATTACTGACTTGCCAATTTTGATGGGGCAAATTGTTATTGGATGAAGTATAGTAATTTGGGGAAGGAGAATCTATAGGTGATGGACTGGTTGGGCTATCATAGGCCTGATTTTTCTGTTGCTGTTCTAACAGACGAGTTACAGGATTTTGAGCTGTTGTTCTTCTTGAGCTTCTGGTGGAAGAACGTGAATGTGATTGTCTGCGACTGTTACTGCTGTGTCGTCCCGAAGATCCTCTAATCATCACGCTACGTCTCTTCACTCTTCGTGGTGTCATCGGTTTAGGAGAAACAGGAGGAGGTATCTGATCGAAATCATTATCACTATCACCATGCCTGTTTTCCAGCTGAGAACTGAACTCAATAGAATAAAGAGACATTCTTTGTTTTGAATTTTTACGTGATGATTTACGAGACGCTGTAGAAAATATGATTTTTCAATCAAACAATTTAAGTTAATGTATTTGGAGAATAGAATAAATGTCTGGTATTTGAAAATACAATAATAATTACCTGAACTATTGAAGAGATTGAATGCTGAATATTTGTAAATAGTAGTCAACTCCTGAAGTAAACTGAATGTGGAGAAAATTATCTTTCCTGAACATCAGAAACTCAAAAATGAATAATAATTTTCTAAATTTCAACTTGGTTGCTCTGGTGTGTGAAAATGATAATTTTCGTGAGGAAAATTTCAAAACTTTGAATGAACTTATTGAATTCTCAAACTTGTTTATTATTCCTTATTTATTATTTGTGATCAAGCTATGTAAACAAGATATAAAGCCTCAGACAATAACGCATATTTTGCCTCATTCCTAGAAGTTTTACAAACTGAATGAAAAAAAAAAATTGGAGTTTGATATTTCATGTGGCAGTTGGCCTATTTGATATGAGCAGATAGAATTGTAAAAATAGAATTAAGCTTATTGTAATCAACCAGCAAGGAAGTTCGACTTGACCTCACAATATGATCAATTAAAATAGCCTATCCTATCGAAACATCTACAAAGAAATGGACATTCACAAATTTCACCTCGTTTCAAACATCTTTCCATGATCTCAAAATACACAAATTTTCCCAAATATATTTTTCACACTTAGGTTTACTGATACAGCAGTAACTGTGTGCTGATTTTTGTATTCTGTTAATTTATCTGACACAAGAAATGTCAGTTCCAATATATAATACTTGTTTAATTTTCTGACCTTTGGAAATGTAGAAAATAAAAATTTCCATTCATATTTCTTACTTGAATATTTTGGTTCAGTTTGGAAACATATGAAAATTTTCAATTATCCTAGAGGGATATGAGGTCAAGAAGACCTTGGATTAAATCGTATTCTTTCATAAACAAAAATTTCGCAAAGTAGCAAAGGAGAATGAAACAACAACAAGTTCAATAAAACTGCTGTCCTAAACATTTTTTNAAATAAGTGAAAACACTATACAAAATCGATCACATGCAAAAAGCATTCTTATTAGAGCAAAAAAGATTGAAAATTATTTAAATATGTATAAAAGCAACATAAAGAATGTTTCGAACACCATTTGACATTGCTAATCTTATTTCTAAAGATAAATATAACTTAAACATAAAAATACAACACCATTTACTTGGTCAAGCAGTTTTAAACAAAATGACTAGAGAAATTTGTGAATTTTCAAAAATTAGTATGGATCTGAATATAAAGATGCAGGTCTTGAAATCATAACTAATGGTAAATTCCTGCTAGGTGCATGAATATCTTGGAAGGAATTACTTCTCCTTTTGGGGTCTCGAATTGTGTCACTATAAACATTTCGAAGTTTACCATGTTTTTCAAAACTTGGAAATAAGTAGGTATTAGATGTGTTGATATATTTGTTAGAGCTATGCAAGTTATCACTGTAGGTCACATACTTGGGATGTAATAAAATACTGTCAGGTGCATTTGGCCTCTCGTAATTAACTGAAAATAAAAAAGCGATAGGCTAAAACTACCCAGAGGTGATATATATTTACTAAGAAATACAGTGCAAAATTAAGTGCATTCCCTTTAAACCGTGACTTACCAAATTGTTTGCGGATCAAATCCACCAATGAAATCAACTGCAAGCATATTGATGATGAAGTTCTATGACTGATTATGGCATTCATAAAAAATGTGGTTCTCTTCCAATGCAAAAAAGTAAGATTAAAAAAATAAATTAAAATAAAAAAAAAGTTGTATACCACATTTAAATGATGTTTATAATCAAACAAGAACTGGCCAATGTTAGTGGAAATGGTCTACAGTAATAATATAAAAATAAACTTACAAGTATCATCCTCCTCCAAAAAAGTACGACTGAGGCAAATTCCCACAATTATATTCAATAGCTGAAACAATAAAAATTTATCAGTTCTCTTCTCAACAGCTCTCAGCATAGATAATCAGAAATGAAAATATGCTTTGATCACAGTGATGGAGATCAAATCGTGAGGTGTAGTTTATGAAATCACAGTGAAGAATAGAATATAGAATATCCTATATTCGCCATAAAAAAATACAATAGTATTATAAGGTTTTATCAAATATCATATACCATAAGAATATCATAAAAACACTAAATGAATAAATAAAAAATAAACAAAATTATGTTTGCAGGCATCCTCTTCCTGGCTAAAAAATGTGACACTACCGCTCCATTTGGCCATATTTCCTTCTTCCATGCGTTTTTTGAGTGTTCTTTATTTAAAGTAACCTTCATGGAGACATATATTTCTGGTCTCTTGGATTGATGCACTTCGCATTTCACCCCGGGAAGATTTGGTTCTAATATTCTCTCTAAGTCTTCTGGTTTTGTTTCTGGTTTCAATCTTGTTACGTGTAGTGATACAAACTTGGGAACAGTTTGAACCTCGAAGAATTGGTCGCTTTGTCCCACTAGGAAACGACGCTTTCTCCTCTGTTGCACTCTCACTTTTTCCCAGCCTTCCTCGTCCGTGTTGTTCGGTTCTTTTATATGGTTTGACCCTAACTGTTGCAGGTTTCTTATCGTTTTCATTTGAGTTGCTTGTAATATTGCTGTATTTACTTGTGATGCTGAGACATATTTTTCCTGAATATAACATTTTTGAGTCTTTTTGCACAACTTGGATGAGCTACCGAGTTGCACTCGTTGCATTTTATACCGTTTTTCACTTTATTCGAGCAATATTTACAGGTAACTACCGACACGTCCGCCATGTTCACAAGTTCACAAGATGGATATAATCCAAAAAATAATAGATGCTATTGACAATCAATGGAACTCCCAGATAATGAACTACACTACGTTGCCTAACAGGCCTGCTTACAGGACACTGTTGTGTATATCATCATATGAAGAGACTTAGATTGTCCAGAAGACAGCATGTGCGTCTCTGTTTAGAAAATAATGGAACAGCAGAGCATGTACTTTGTGCCGCACCGCTGTAGACCGAATCTTTATAGACTTTGACAGAGCTTCACTTTTGCCATCTAACCTGAAAGATCACTCACCTAGCTAACTGACTTTGTCAAGGATCTGGACTGATTCGGTCAAGTTTGATTATGTGTGAGCCTCAATAAACCCTTGCAGGTTCGACCCACTCACTTTGGACCTGACATAACCTAACCTATCATGCCATAATTCTCAATTCAATAATAACAGTGATTCTACAAAGCTACTATGATAATGAAATTAAAAATGCATTTCATACTATACCTACATGCGTACCATAAATAATATTCCGAATTTTTCATGAATCTAAATAGAAAAGTGTGATTCTAACAAATAGGTAGTGAACAAAAATATTTTCTCACTTTTCTAGTGACTGTTTCTATATAGGCATAAAAAGTGTTTAAACATGTTACATTTTGTATTTGCATGAATATTTGCACAAACGAATAAAAGGATCATCTACACAACATGGTTGCGAATGAACTTCACATGCCCACAATTTTGCTACAAGTCAGAAAGAATTGTGATTTTTTCAACTCTTTCATACATCTGCATAATTAAATTATCAGATGATTTGAAATAATATTGCAAGCTTTCTGGATGTTGTAAATTATATCATTCAAACATACGACTATCACCATATTACAGGGGAGATGAGCCAAAGGAAAAACTTGACAGATTTGGCTGAAACTACATCAAATCAAATCAATTTTCACTTCTTTGAGACAATATAACATTGTATGTGAACAGTCGGGTTGTTAGGTACGTAGATACAGAACAATCAGGTTGAAAATAACATGAAAATGGTATATATTATAAATGAAAGCGAAGATAAATTATCACACATAATATGACATATCAGGTACATGGTTGGTTAGTTGTTTGGAAGTATTCATTCATGGAGTATACACATTTTTCAACTAAATAAAGTTTTAAATATTTTTTAATGTTATCTATCTCATGTTCCAGACCTTTCAGGGTATCTGGAAAGTTATTAAAAAAATTTACTCCGATTCTACTTGGAGCTTGGTATGTAACATTGACCCTGGACAGTGGCAGTTGCAGATCATTGTTACGACGGGTGTTATAAGAGTGGAAATCTCCATTGTGTAGATAAAAATGCTTATTTTTGAAAACATATACACAAATTTCAAACACATACAGACCCGTACAGATGATAATGTAATTTTTGAAGAGCTTATGACATGAGTAGTCACTTTTGACACCAGCTATATATCTTATGATTTTTTTTCTGAGAAATGAAGACTACCTGAATAATCGATGAGAGCTTAGAACACAGATACTGACAGTGTTTTTACCAGTCCAAGCGTTATTCAATGAAAATATGATGAGAAATGTACAGTCTTCATGAACGGATAACTTTGTGTCATTCAGTATTTGATTTGTTTTTTCATTAAACCATGCAACGAGTTATTTCAAGGTAAATTCACAAGTTTCTTTTGAAGTATCTGGATTTTCATGAGATATAAGAGGTATCAAGAGGTAATTTCTCATTCTCTAAAGGTATGTTCCCATCGTGTCTGAAAATTGCCACAATCATTCCTCTACATAAAGGAGGCGATCTTGACAACCCAGCTAATTTTAGGCNTTATAGTTTATATTTGTTAATTGTCCCTTATACATGTTTTACTTTACTAGACTTTGCCAATAAGATGTTTATATCTTGGGTAATAAAGCATATTTTGATTTGATTTGATCATCCGTATAAATTGTAAGTCCTACGTTTGGAAACGATTTCGTTATTTCATTAACGTATAAAATGAAGAGAACCGGGCCCAAGACAGAGCTCTGGGGGACATCTATATCAATTTGAGCCTTAGAAGATTTGATGTCTTGAAGCGAGTTGTTATTGAAATATTCGAAACTAACAACCTGTAATCGGTATTTAATGAAAAACTCAATTCAACTGAAACAAATACCTCTAAACACGGCCGTCGCGTGGGTGTGGCGACCGAGGCGGTCGCCTTGGGGTAAAAAAAATCATGCGAGTGTTATCTACTTTTATTTATAAGCACCACACTCACAGTGGCTCGCGCCGCGCCGGCGCGCCCCCTCCCGACCACTCCTCAAACTAAACTCAGCCAGTCGTCACTTGTCAGTCAGTCTGTATCAAGCTGTAGTTCCTCCTCACAAAGTAGCATTCGAGAGGCCAAAGACACTGAATTTGTGCCTGTACTTTCCCATACTGGCCATACTACTGATGATACCGTTACAAGCGATCGTGATAGTTCTAATGACAATAAAAGAGTGATAACACTGTCAACAGACACTGAAATGGAATTAATTTCCGAATCGGAACAGGTGCCGATGATTACTTTAGATCCTGCAACGTGGCCAGTGCATATTATGCATATTCACCATTATGAACTTATTTTAAAGGAGCCGGTTGAATATTCTAAAGAAGACCCTGATTATCCAAAAAATAACGACAATAGGCACTTTGAAACCAATCTCGATATCAAATTTTGGAAAATGGAGAAAGAATATCAAGGTGATGGTTGATTTATTCTGAAAAATCAGATGCTGTCTACTCTTTCTGTTGTAGATTATTTAATCCATCATCAGTCAAATTTTGGGCAAGCAATGGGTTTCAACAACTGCAAAAATTTGACAGATCGTTTAAAATCCCATGAGTTGTTACCAGACCATTTCAAAAATATGGCAGAATGGTTTGAAGCAGAAAAAATAATTGAAGGAAACACCTCAATTAACCAGCACATCATGAAGCAAATTGAAACTGAGGCTCACCGTTCGGCAGAAGTGTTGCTTCGGTTAGTAGAAATTACTTTATTTCTAGCAGAGCTAGAATCGGCCATCTGCCAAAGCTTTTACCAAAAATAATGGGAACTTTCTAGGACTTGTACAACTTTTAGGTTAATTTGATAGTGTAGTAATGGAACACTTAAGACGTATAACTGAAAAAGAAACACATTTTCATTCATTAAGAGTGTCAATACAAAACGATCTACTAACTATACTAGAAAAGCAAAGCATCTTGACAAAAAAACAAAGAAGCCAGTTATTTTTTCGTTACTTTACTTCAGACATAAGTCACAAGGAGCAAGTTTCTTAAACAATTCGCCACGTCACTGAAGATGATGATGGGAAAATCAAAATAGAAGAAAGCTTTATAGCCTATCAAGTTGCCGAAAGAACCACTGGAGAAGCTCTCGCTGACTTGCTGTGCAAAGAAATTGAAGAGTGTGGTTTGAACATGACAAACTGTCGAGGTCAAGGATACGACAATGGCGCCAATATGGCAGGTGTACATAATGGAGTTCAAGCTTCAAGTACTGGACAAATTCCCTTCGGCTGTGTTTATTCCTTGTGGGTGCAATAGCCTAAACCTAGTGATTGCTGATGGAGCAAGATCATCAATTAAGTCTTACGTCTTCATTTGGTATTCTACAACGACTCTTTATCATCTTCTCAAGTTCAACAAAGCGCTGGTGTATAATAAACGACCATACAAAAGCACTTATTTTAAAGCAAGTGTGTGAAACGCGTTGGGAAGCTCGCATAAGTGCTGTTCAGGCTGTCAGATACCAATAATTGGAAGCTAGGGATGCATTAGTAGAGTTAGGCGACAAAATTGATGACCCCAAAACAGCCTCTGGGGGCTAAATCTTTGACTGGTCAGATGGAAGATTTTTCGTTCATTGTTACTCAGATTTTGTGGAATGAAGTGTTTGAAGTAAATTTGATCAGTAAAAGCATTCAAGGGAAAGAGTTAGATATCAGTGACTGTTCTGAGAGGATTAACAAGTGTTTGGAGTTTTCAAACGGATTTAGAGATAATGGATATGTGGACGCAGTAATCTCAGCTAAAGAAATAGCAGCCGAACTTGGTATATAACCTGTTTTTCCGAGAAATTGATTCGTAAACGATAACGCTTTTTTTGTATGAGTCTTTTGAGGAAGTGCAATTGTCATCTGAGGAAACCTTTACAAGAGAAGTTTTTTTCCATTAGTAGATAACGTTTTGGCCTCACTTGAGAAGAGATCAACTGCGTTGAAGGAACACCGAAAAGTGTGGGGATTTTTGAGTAATGTTTATGTGGCTCAAAAGAAGATCAAAAACAAAGTTACATGGACCTTGAAAGGCATTCAACAGACGAAACAACCAAAGTGTATGATATGAAAGGCATTGAGCTGTATCATGAACTTTCACATGTAAGTTTGATTTTGGAAAATGGAAACAAAAAAAAAACATCAAAGTCACACCAAAAGAACTATTGTGTGAGATCAAAAACACAAACAGTACAGATTTTTTCCGAAAGGCCATATCTTGGGTCCATAGCTCTTCTGAAATTGTGTTCAAATATTGTCATTATAAATGAATTGTATACATTGGGATATTTAGGGGTGATACTTTCACATTTTACTTCGGGGAAACTGATTTGTAACAATTCCTCAAGATCGCGAAGTGTAGTTTTAAGATCAATTCTGCATACATGTAAGTGAATTTGCTTGGGGACTTCTCTTACACGAATATTTTCTTGATTATTCCCAACTATCATACATCTTCGCTTTCTGCCAATGACATCCTTCCATTGCTAACGTAGTTTATTCGTATTAGAAGTGCTACATTCTCCCAATGATGCCGGGTTTGAATTCTCATCAGCCTCTAAATTGATAAGATTCCCCATTGTCATCGGTTTTTCAACATGGCGATCCCATTTGACACCTGCCAATGAATAATAATAGTTTTTTTTGTTTTTACTCGAGTCGATATTTTTTTTGCCACTGGAATTAGAATCCACTGTTTTGTCGTTGTTTTTGCTATTTGTTATCGACCGAAATTGTCACACGTGGATTCTGGTTATCTTAACTTTTAATAGGTGGAACTCCATTCACCTTTATCAAATGAATATGTTCATTATGTATTTCAATTTTTCATGCAATTCGTGGATTACCTCTTTTTGATTTATTATATACTTAAATAAATTGAAGTCTACCTTATCATAGTTTTGAATTTCAACAGCATCGAAAAAGTGTTCCATATCACTGGTTTCACTATTCGCACAGCAGTTAATCGAATTATTACCAATTATTTCTGCCTTTGTTTTGATTAGCACAACTTGGGCGACTATCCTGCCATCGCCTTGTCTCACATCAATCAATCAATCAATCAATCAATCAAATATACTTTATTATCTGAAAAACTACATCTTGTAGAGAAAGTCATAAATAATATGTAAGATACAAAAATCTACATAAAAAAAACATACACAATTTAAACAAAATACAATAAACATAAGCTGAAAATGTGAAATACACTGAGATATTCAGCTGGAAATAACAAGACATAGAAATAAAAGTTAAGATTCAAGTGAATCGTCAAGATAAATATGGGGATCTATTAGAGCGAAATAAGCTGTTCTTGAATGGGAGTAGCCTAGTTCTCTAGAAATCACTCTTAGTGCATAGCAACGTGAGGCAAGCTTCTTGCTTATGCATATATGCATAAGCATATGCATATATGAAGAACTATCATTTGAATCAATTGAATCAATATTATCAAGTGATTACAATTGAGCGATATGATCTTAAAAACTTCGATTCACCATTCAGTACAAGATGTAATAAACTTTTACAAGGAAAACAGTTTGTGGCACTATACTTTTGAATCGTTAATGTGTGTCAGTGATATTTATCGTAAAATTTCAATAGGAAAATACTATGCAGCTTTCAGACTAGTAAAAAAACCAGTTTCATCATTTAGAATATTGCAAAAAACTTACAGCAAAAAAACACTGGATTCCAGCTTGAACGATTTCAATGTGAACATAGTTGATTAAACATCCATCAACAGATATAGCATCAACATTCTGAATTCTGCAACCAGGTCCCTCTTTTTTCCACCAGCTATCACTGTTCACATCCAATTTGAGCACTTTATTTTTCTTGAAAAAAAAAAGTTCTTAAAATTTAAACTTGAGGTTGCAATTTGAAAAATCATAAAACCATACATTAGTTGGAAAATCTAAGTAATAATTACTTAAAGAAAGTTAAGATTTCTCTCAAAACACTGTTTTTTACTAAGTGGAAGAGTATATGAGTATTGACCACACTCCAATGACTTGTGCTCATCAATTTTTTTATTGGTGAAAATCATCAATGACATTCCAATTTTGAAGATATTTCAACTTGAATATGTAGTATATTTTCATATAAGCTCACTGTCTACTTTTTAAACAGCATTGTATACATCAATTGGTTAAGGCTATCGCTGGTCCGAGATTTTCAGTGTTACTACCTACGGGTTTGAAGGCAGTCGTAGTTTGGAACTGCATCCTAACGTTTCGCCAGCACAAGTGGCTGGCTTCTTTAGAGATTTATTCATCTTGATGATTCACCGATGACTGGTGATTTNTAGCCAGACCTGAATCCACTCTGATATAAGGGAAGTATATTATTATCTTCGATGTGTGTTCTCATTTGCAGTTCAAGAATTTTTTCTAATACTTTCGATAAGGTTGGCAGCACGCTTATACTTCGTAAGTGACTGTATTCCGTTGGGTTACTGATTTTTGCTAATGGAAGTACATAAGCACGCTTCCAAGCTTTAGGAAAGTAACAACAATTCAAACATTCATTCACAACATGAGTGATGTATATAATTATATATGGACAACAGAGCAGAATCATGTTAATATTTATATTGTCTAGTTCGTAGTTCGAGAGAGGCGGACTACCTGAGACAACATAAATACAACCTACGAACTAGAAATCACCAGTCATCGGTGAATCATCAAGATGAATAAACTTCTGAAGAAGCCAGTCACTCGTGCTGGCAAGACGTTAGGATGCAGTTCCAAACTATGACGGCCTTCAAACCTGAATGAAGATAGTAACATTGTATACATCTATCGAAGTTTGTGACCAAACAATGGACACTGTTGTCTGAATCATCATTGCAGAGACTTGAAATATCAGAAGACAGTGTGTGATGTCTCTGTTATCAGGTTCGTCATGATTCAATTGCAAACATTGTCGCACATTTTGTTTCTTCTGTTCCAATTTAGAAGTGACTCTATTATTTTTTAAACCAAGCTCAGACTCAAGAAATTAAAACACATTTGATCATTTTCCGAGTTTTCACCCTTTCAACCTTGTTCACCCCATTGGAATTTAATGTTAGCAATCAATTATTCATGATTAATCAAACAAACAAATCGAGGTGCAACATACCCTTCGAATTTCCAGATGGTTGGGAATGGCTTCACAAAAAACATGTAGGTGCACATCATTCCCATTCAAATAATGCTGACTGATAAATTCATTGAGAAAAATGTAAATTCATTATAGAAGAGATTAAATTTCACTTTTGGAATAAGATAGGTGTCTCTTCAGCACCAATCTGGATAACATTACACAAAAAATCACTCAATTCATTCATAACATATTCCACTAATTCTAAAATCTATTTTTATTGAAAATGTTTATCATAGTGGTTTCATTATCTACAGCAGCTGTAGATGACATTTTCAATATTTTTCAAATAGAGAATAGGTAACTTTTATTTTTCAGCTACAATGAAATCAATTTTAACAACATAAAGTCAGCCAATCAGTTATCTATATACATTGTGACCAAAAATTACATTTCGTAATGTGAAAGTAAGCAAGAAAATGTAAGCATTGTTTTTGTTGAAACAAAACCGTGAAAAAATCGACTAAATTTCCTCTGATATACAAAAAAGTTAAGATTACAAATGCTATAAAAGATATTTCCCGAGGGAAGTGCCTTTTACAAAATGACAAGTGGAAGGGGATTGACCTTATAATCATCCCTTATAAGTCACAGCAAGTCCCCCTTCCAAGCAATTTTTTTTATTATTTCCTGTGTCTGACTTACATTTCCTGTTTCTCAAATATTGTATTGGAGTTTTATCATTTTTGAATAAACATATTCTATACAAAGTCTGAACACAATTGATTTTTTTTTGTTATAGATAATACAGTTATAACATTCGTAAAACATTTGGTAAAGTATGAATGATTTCCTTTGGAAACTACATACCTCATGATCTAGTCCAGCAACATTGAGATACAAACATATTATAAAAGTGTTCCATCCCACCCAGAATATGTGCCATATCAGATACTGAAAATCAAAGTATCAATTAGTAATAAATGAATATTAATGATGGACATCTAAAGCTTTTTGAAAAATGATCCTTACAGCGATTATGTACTTTGGTCGAAATTGATATGCACCAAAGAAGCCAAAAATAATAAAAACGATCTCAAAAAAATTAACCAGAATTGGTATCCACAGAAATCCAAGAAAGTCGAATACCTGTCGCTCCACTACTGTTACCTAAAATTTTAAATAAATTTCATCATATTTTGATAGGACACAACTTCGGAGAGGAGTATGCATATTTGCCAACGATAAAGGAAAACTTGATTAAATAGCTTATGATGGTAGTGTAGAGAAGAGCTTTGAAACATGTTCAACACAAATCAAATCTCTGAACAAAACTAATTTTATGCATATTATTAGCAAAAGTGAATTTGATACTTTTATTAACAAGATTTAACAATAACTTTATGCATTATATAACATAAAGGTTACTTTTATTTTCTGTAGTGACATGAATATTAAGTTTCTTGAATTCAGTGTTAACAAGAGTGTAAATCTGTATTTCTCGCACAAGTTTGAATATTTCCTTTAACGTTTGAAAATATAAGCTCCATAGGCCTAAAATGTTTTTTTTGAAGGCAGGCTCACAGGATGTTGGTGAATATAAATATAAAAAGCCATACTTCAATGTCCCTATATTCATAAAAAAAATAATGTAATATACATAAACTATCCATAAGAGGAAAACTCACCATTTCTAATAGGCATATTGTTAGAAAAAAACACCTCTTTGTACAGATCCCCATATCATGAGGTATTTAGTCTATTTCTTTTATATTTTTGAAGTATTCTAAACAAGGATGAGCCATTTCACAACCATATTTATTCCAGGAACTTATTTATTCTATAGCTCACGGTAATCACTCAATCATTGCACTTAATCATGATTATGATTACTATCAATGATTAGTAACACTGAATGACAGGAAAATATATTAAAATAAACAATGGTCTTGTCGATTCATCTGTGTTTTTAGGATTTTTTCACTTTCCTTCTTTTGTTTTCTGATCTATGATTTCTTTTTATTTTCCCAGAAATCCCTTTAAATTTTATGATATATGTCTTTGTCTTTCGATGTCAAACGTCAAGGCTGAACATCCAGAATATTAGAGATATGTTCCAAGCTGACTTTTCAAATAGAATGTTTGTGTCAATCGTGTCATTGATAAACTATTTTCGATGTGGCAACTGGGAACCATACATTTTCCAATTAATTGATCTATTACTATTCAAATTTTTAATATGAGAAGGAACTTCAGTTCCTCAAATGTGTGTTATTTTTCATCTATCCACAAGCCACTTACTTACTAGAGTAAGTGGTTTGTGCATCTATCGTATCTTTCAAATGTGTTGAAGAAGGTACCTTTGTCCATTGGCCCATGACAAATGAAACTTCAGCTGGAGAGGACGAAAACATAGAATTGACTTAACCGAAACAAATCGTATTTTAATATTGTTTGTTCTTAACTATTCTGAACTGTTCGGTGTTGAAAGTACCTAAGTCAAAAATATTTTCATATTTTTTTCAGCGAATGTCAATGCTATGAAAATAATATGATTCTACCCATCTATGTATGTAGAATATAACACAGTTTTTCACTCTTATAAAACTATTCGACTATAAATTTTTATTTGTGTTATTCCAAAAATATGAAAGTGACAGAGTAGCTTTTGACAATCACCTGTTTCAATATTCCAAATCCAAACTTGTCATCTGCCAATTGTCACTCTCACTACAACAAAATTCTCGGTTAAATCTATGTCTGACGGCTCAGACAGGATTTATGAAGTATATTTTGCAGATGGCCTTAATGAAAATAAAATTCGTATCTTGCATAAACTATCTGTATCCCAAAGGGTCACTTCCACCCGATTTTATTAAGTGATATAGTTTTCCATTGATGATGATCACAAAACCCTAATGTCATAACCTCATTCCTGTCATCCTCCGACCTCAAGCTCAATTGTTAAAACAGTGCATGATCTATGCATCATTGTGTAGAAATCAAGTATTGAGTGACTAATGTCAAGTTATCCAACTTGATTTTCAACATACACTCTACTGTGACCTCACTCGACTCCTGAAAAAGCTTGAACAAGCAATGAATTTTTTGGCCCGATAGCTTCGGTACGTCAGGCCACTACATGAAGAAAAAACAGAAAATCATCAGTTAGTATTTTGACGTTTTTGCGTAGAACCACAATGTCGGTGATTATAGAAACATCAAATAATATTCCTAGCTACTTTTGAAATATATCTTAGGATATGGTATCCGAAAGTAAGCAGATGCTAGATTTGATATCGAGTAAGTATAGGTATATAGTATATATCTATATCAACCGGCTACCTGAAAAAACATGAGTTAGAAAGACGTCTATACTTTTTTTATTCTTGAATGTTTGTATTTAAAATTATACTACATTTGGAAGTCGATTTGACTTCTTTCTTCTTGAGATCTTAGATCTTAGTAACTCCTGGCACAGAATACTTTACACTTTACAGAATAGTTAGTTATCTGGAGCCAAGTGTTTTGAAAGTAAAATAAAGAGAGATATCCGACTTTTCTCTCAATTTGAAGATGAGGCTCCTGACGGCACTCACATGTTTATGTGCTGGAGGTGTTTAATGTTATTTTTCGCGGTAAATTCGAATTACTTGAAACTTCTCGGATATGTAATTTAATTGCAGTTGAGAAACTATCACTATGTCATTCGGTAGATTGTCAGACCGAAATTCCCACTGAACAAGCTTTTTTTTTTAAATATTCACGTCCATTAATAACCTGGCGGAATTTTTAGGTACCTCTCAAGATTGTCAAAAAGTACGTGGTCTCTTTTGTAAGGTATTATTTTGTGCTCCTGTTCATAAACTATAATCAATTATCAATAATAATGATGAAAAATTTCTACTTCTAGAATAACAGTGAAAATAATAATAATGAAGAGTACTTTCAATCAGAAAGATGTTGGTTTTTCGCCTCAGAGAGTACGTAGTCTGTGACACAAATAACTGCTCATGTTCAAATAACACCTTGTGGGGTTTTCCTGAATAGTTCATAAAACGTGTTTCCCTATATGTTTAAAATATGTTTTTCGTTAACCAGCTGTCGCTCCTCGTCAACTCTCAAAAGTCGAAACTTGTTCGAGCTAAGGACTAAGGAGGCCTTACCTTTCAACATGTTATTTCTATGAAAAAGCTTCCTCAGGCGTGTTGATACTTAATTTCACCTGATTAGTGCTCAATATCAATTGACGATTCAAATCATACGACCTTCTACACACCCAATGACTAAAATTATATTTGAGTGTAGTCATGCTGGTTGGATGGGTGAGCAATATCTGCCTTGATTTTTCATGCGCAGATGTTGAATTCTGCCATTTGTTAGGTTAGGTTAGTTTTTATTGTACTGAGTAACCTTTTCATAAAAACATTCACTATTATTATTATAAGTGATTTAAAAATCAAACATCAGAAAAGAAATTTCACAAACTTATTTAAACGTATATGTAATGAATGAGTTCACGTTTCAAATAATTACCTATTTACACATTAGAAAAGAGTTCAATTCTATTTGATAATTCAGTAAATTTTCAAATTTTTTTCTAAGACAAAACATAAGCACTACATGACAATTCTTAAGGCGCTCTCAGAGCGGTGCTTGTGCGAAAGTAGCGATTCACATTGGATTTGAAACGCTGTAGATTGAATCTATTTGGAAAAACGTTCTCAGGAAGTATATTCCACATAAACGCAGTTCTTCAGATGAAAGAGTTCCTAAACAGTGAAGTTCGAGATGTACTGAGTTGAACCTCAAAACGATGAGCAGCCACAGTCCGTCGCGTATTTCTGATATGTACCGCTCTAAGTGGAATCAGATGTGCCAAGTCACTTGAACACCTCCCGTGAAAGTATCTATAGAAGAAAGACAAATCTCCAACCTTTCTTCGACGTTCCAGACTAATCAAAGTTGCACGTGATGTTAGCGTCTCCAATCAGGCGGATGGCTCTTTTCTGGATGGAATCCAGCAACTTCAACCTCCTGCTGCCCGTGAAGATGTGCCTCTGTAGCTGATATCCTGGAATCTAAGTGGAATGACAAGACAAGTGTGCTGTCGTCAGCAAAGCAATATATTGGATTCTTGTTTTTTTCCAATAAGTCGTTGTTTGAATCTGTTGAATTCCACGCACTCCAATAGATTGAGTATCAAACCTTTCTCTCCCAAATGTAACACATCACAGTCGTGATTGAACTCATGCTCCTCTGCCAGAAGATGATTTGCAAATGTGGAATCGGTTTTACATTCGAAAAACTACTACAATTCTCTTTTAATCTGTTTGTTCTTCTCGTTTGACCAGTATGCAGTTTTGGGCGAAAACCTCAAGTTATGTACTCCTGATCTATCTGACATTGAAGTTTTGCCTTTTTTTTTCAAATAAATTTGCTTGATCAACTTTGTTATGAATCCCTATATGCATTTCATCGAGAGGCTTTTTCCGATCTCTTTCAATTTTAAACAAACAAAAATTTATATATATTGACATAATAAGGGCGGGACTACCCTATTCATTATTAATTAATATAGATGATATTTATTTTCATGATATTGGGTATGTTTTCCATATGTTCTTATTGTAGATTTTCGTTGATCTACATATTATCGCGAGAAACTGCCTCAGGAACAATTTTAATATATTAGGGGCTGAATCCCCCTTGCAGTCTATTAACTTTCATAAATCTCCATATGGAATCTATTCAGAATATTATTGTTCATCACTTGACATATTTAGTTTTCACCGATCTCGTGAGGTTTTTGGGTGGAGAGGCGTTAAATATCGGAGACAATAGGGGTGATTTTACCCTGTTTATTTTGCCTAAGGCTGAATAGTGACTGTTCAATATTTTAGTTAGGCTCATTCTCACTACTTTTCTATTTCCGATTCTAGTCGATCTCAACAGGTTCTTGCCGAACACTTTTTCAAATATATTTCTGTGGGGGTGCCGACTTGCCCTAATGGCCTGATCTTTGCTATGAATCTCTATATGCATTTTATCGAGAGGGTTCTACTGAATCATTTGAGTACAGAAAATTTTTCCGATCTCGTTCAGTTTTTGACAAACAGAAATTTATGTATATTGACAAAATAAGGGCGAAACCACCCTCTTATTATTAATCAATATCAATGGTATTTATTTTCATGATACTAGTGTTGATTCCTATATGTTCTTGTAGTAGATTTTCGTGGATTTCGATTTTCTCGTCAGAAATTGACCTGGGCAGAAATTTTATATTAGGGGTTGAACCTCCTTTCAGTCTATACATGGCAATGAACTGTTCAGACTGTCTGGTTACTTTGATTTCATTACTTACAACCTAAAATTGTTCTCAATCAAAAAGACCTTGTCTCGAAGTGTTTAGGCAATCTGAACTCAAATGAAATGTGTTTTAGGTAATTAATTAAAACGTTTTTTAGGTAATTTTTTGTTTCTTATCTGCTTATGGAATTATTTGAAATAGCAGAAATGGCCATCCAATATCATGTTCATGGCTCTTGAGTAGTACAGCCTGTTTGTTAATTTTTTGATTTGGTGACCTAATGAATGCAGTCCATCTTTGTATTGTTTTATTTGTTGAAGTAGTTTGATCCTCGTTCTGTATTTTTTGTTTGATTCTATTTTCTAATTTATCCATTGCCTTTCGGGTATATCCGTTCTCGTTTTCTATTTGGTATATAATTTTCTTCTTTTTGTTCCGGGCTTCATTGCATTTGTGTGACGGTAGGTGGTTCGAAATTGTGGGCATGGTGGAGCTTGTTTGTGTAGGTTTCCTGTATATTGCCATTCGAAATTTTGTTTTGTCGTGGTTGTATCCGATAGTTATGTCCAGGTAGTTGAGTTTCGAGTCGTTTTCTTCCTCTATACTAAAAATCAGTTTTTGATGTATTTTGCTAATTTTCTCTATAATTTGTTCTATTCTTATTTCTTTGTTTTGTGATATAATATATATATACGCCGTCGTCAACATATCTGAATCAATCTCCTTTTTCATCATGTGTTTTGATTGTTGTTAAAATTTTCTCATCCATGGTTTGCAGGTATATTTCGGATATAATCTCCACTATCTAGCATTATAAACCGAAACCGGTCGTAACAAATGATAAACTTAGTAGAAATAAGAGAAAAGTTATTTTATTTATTATATATCTACATACATTCAATACCGCAATTGAAACAAACAGCCTTCCCACTTCATGGAGAGAAGCCATTGTTTTACCGTTACCGAAATGTGATGATCCAACAGAACAACCACACCTGACGCCTATCAGTAAAATGCCTCTTCTCTCTGAAGCATTCGAGTTGATCATCAAATATCAGACTATTTGTGTAAAGTAATAACATCACCACTGCTGTGCAGTCATGTTTCCGGGAATCCCACAGCTCTTGTTAACATAACGCAAGATTTATTCAATTCAATTGTTGAATTGACTCTGATGGTACTACTTGATTAAAGTAAGACATTTGATCCAATGGACCATACTGTTAAAAGATTTCATACTTTGGATTCGATAAACACATAGTTATTAGTGGGTTATCTACAAAATCGAAAGCAAATTATATGTATGGATTGTAGATATTCAGATGCTTCACCAGTTAGTTTTGGAATCTCTTAGGGATCAATTCTTGGACCACTTTTGTATTCAATATATATATATATTTCAAATTTCCGTGATGTAATAAATAACTGCCGTATACATCATTATGCAGATGACACTCAGTTATACTACTCATTCAGTAAAAATAACTGGCAAGAAGCTGTTCATAATATCTTGACAATCTTTCTCATAAGTACGAAGCGCAAAATGACAAATTGAATGTCTGATCGCTGTACGACTTGGTGATGATACACTTTCGATAGTAAACGATAGCGAAAACCTAGGAATGTGGTTAGACTCCGAACTCAGATTTCTCAAGCATGTTAGTATAATTTGTCAGAACTCCTATAATAGCTTACGGCTTACAGACTTGATAACATCCAGGATCTAACTGAAGCTTAGCAAAGCACTAATATGAAAAAAATAAAATATATGTTTAACCAGCTGTCGCACTCCTACGAACGACACCCTCAGAAGTCGAAACTTGTACGAGCTAAGGACTAACGATGTATTACCTTTCAACGTGTGATTCCTAACACGTGTTGGACGATAGAAAGTGGAAATCGATCGTTCAGTCTGCGGCTTGAACAACAGACTCACACATCGGTCGATTGAGGTAGTGAACAAAGCACCCACGTTGAACCGCCCGGCTAT